TGGGGCAGGACTTTGTGCCGATCCCAGAACTTCCCCAGGAATCCACTCAAGTGACTTCAGTAGATGAATGGATCAAACAAATGACAGATACTTGGCCAATAATTAAAGCGGCGTTACAAGATGCAAGGGAAGATTACAAAAAACATGCAGATTGCAAGCGATCTCCTGAAAAGGAATGGAAAGTGGGAGACAAAGTGTACTTATCAACCAAGTACCTCAAAACACTGCAGCCATCAAAAAAATTAGGAACCAAATTTGTGGGGCCATTTACAATAGACAAAGTCATTAACCCTGTTACAGTTCGGCTACAGTTACCTAAGAATCTCAGGAGGATTCACCAGTCTTCCATTGCAGCCTTCTAAAACCTTACAAGGAATCGCCCGAGTGGCACATAGCACAGCTGCCACCAGACTCTATAATGATTGAGGGAGAGCAGCATTTTGAAATAAAAGAGATTTTAGATGCCAGAAGACACAGAGGAGGAATACAGTTCCTCATTCAGTGGAAACACTTACCCAAATCTCAATGCAAGTGGGTTGCGGAGAAGCATGTGAGAGCACCACAGTTGATTAAGGACTCCTACAAGAAACACCCTAACAAGCCAAAATAATGAATTCATTCGTGTTGTAAAAATGTACATATGTTTTACTTCTCTCTATCTAATCCCTCTACAGGTCTCCGTCCACCAAGACCGAAATGGATCCTTCTTTCCAGGGGGGCGGCATGTCAGAACCCTCGCAATCATACTGCTAGTTTGCTTGCTTTGTTTCTGCCATTAGAGAGAGAGGGAGGAAGGGGGGGAAGAAGGGGAATGAGGTAAAACTAAGTTTTGGCATGCACAGGACTCAGTTCCAGCTATCTCCTTAGAGCTGTACACTACTTCCCAATAAATGAATTTTTCTTTGAACCTGCATTGGTTTCAATGGGAGTTGCTTTCATTGGGAACTGAGTACTGTGGTTCTTGCACTCTCTCTTTTTAAAATAAAAAATACAGAGGAAACACAACACCTCAAACTGGAACTTGGCAAGGGAGGCAGTAAAAAAGATGGAAGAGCATTGATCCCTATATCCACAATCAAACTGCACTGAATCTGACCTGAGCTATTGGCCAAGATCAACACTGGTCGTTGTTGGTTCTTACCGTGAAACACTCCCCCAAATACACAGATTGTACTGAGTTTCATTATTAGGCTAAACGGAAGGGCGGGGAGATAAATGAAACGTAACAATCAGGTACAGAATCTCTGGATCAAAGGCTCACTTCCATGCAAACTTATATTTGGATTCACTTGATTCCAGACTAATAATTCTCTTTTTCTCTTAAAGAAGCCTTGTTAATGGCTTCTGTGGTATGCTATGTTGAACCAGAAGACAACCACTGAACATTATTAAAGTCCATCATTCCAGCAACATAGCAAGGACATTTTTTCACCCTTCCAAACCAGGTCCCCTCCCAGGGGTGTCAGGGAGGAGTAAAAAACATCAAGTCAGTGACCATGATTAGATGGTTGTGGCTGCCATCCTGACTTTTTCACACACATACACACCCATACCACAAATGCCCCTGCCCCCTCTAGCTGTTTTACCTGACTTGATCCCCAGTCAGGTTGGCCATAGCAGTAACTAGATGTGGGAAGCCGGAAGCTGGGGACAATGTCTACGGCTGGAATTCTCATCTGAGACAACAAAGAATTTCAACACTTGCAAAGGTAGCTTCTCATTCCCCAGACTGGCTTGGAAGATCTCACTCGCATCTCTGGAGCAGGAAGCCAGATTTTAAATAGTCAGAAAGAATTTCATTAGCAGCCAAATGGGAAAAGACATAATCATTAGTAGCCAGACAGAAACAGGCATCGTTAATTAGCAGCCGTCATAGAGAGGAAAATAGAAAATGTCAGAAGGCCAGGTTGTGGGGTGACATTCAGTATCTACCACTCCTTATTTACAATAAATGACCAGCAAAATCATTTAGAAAAATACACAACAGTAAAACAGCTTGATGCATGAAAAACATGGCTTATTCTGTCTTTAGGCTACGTATGATACAAACACCATTGTGCTTATAGCCTTAAGAGAGACCAGCGGAGAAGAGAGAGATGTGTCACCCAACTTTTCTTTGTGTGAAACTGATGGGTAGAGTGACTAAAACTGCACAGAATTGGGTGGTGTCCATCTTCCCACAAGCTGGTTGTGTGCTTTGCCGTGCCACCTGGAAGTAGGACCAACTCAACAGTCCCCAAGATGGGCTGAAGTCGTAAGGGTCCCTCATGACATGGATGGGGTGCATAAGCTTTGCTTCCAGCTGTGAATGTGGCCCACTGTACCACTGAACAGCAGCCCCAAAGTCGTGGCAAATATGGGCTAAAATTATAGGATTGTGACTTTGCAGTGCAGTGTCCCAGAAATGAACAGAAGGTTGTTGAGACTAGAAACAGATTCCTTAATGCTTTTTGGGTTACCAAAAACATCATCATCATGTCTTATGGTTGGTTGCACAGTCAGCCAGATGTTTAGACTAGATTTGGCATTATTATCATCATCATCATCATCATCGTCATCATCACAACATGGAATCACAGATGCCAGTTCTTTAGCTGGTGTTGGCCTTCATTCAACCGAGTTCTTCCCAAGAACCTAGGATGTTGTAATGTATCAGTGTAGTATATGTGTGGATATTATTATTATTATTATTATTATTATTATTATTATTATTTCCTTTGGGACCAGATAATTTTTGCATAGATAGCCATTCTGACCATCTGTGTAACCTGAAATAGAAAGAAACACTTTTGGTTGTATATTTGATATATTTATCAAACCCTCCCCAAATCTTACTTGGCCATTTTAAAAGAAGAAAGCCCATGTAACACTACCTCAAAATATATTGGAGAAGAAAAGGTTTTTCTTTTTTCTTTTTAAAAAAGCGTTCCATCGTCCTTCGTTATCTCTTTCTTTCTCTCGCACCCTGTTGCTTGTCTATTCTTCCCACCCTGCATCCCGGCTCTGCTTCTGGCTTGTGCGGCTGTCCACACAGCAGGCCTCCCATAAACTGATTCAGTAAGATGACCCTTCGATGAACAGCTTAAGATGTTCGATCAGGCGGATAGGAATGGCTTTGGAGGGCTGATGGCTAACAGTTATTGCTTTGTAAGAGACTTAATAGGAGCTGATGGGGGAACCCAGAAAAACAGGCTGCTTAATTTGGAGGGCCAGACCTGTTTCCTGGACTGAAGGCTGCCTTCGTTTGAATTTTCGTTTGAATTTTTCGAACAAATTGTCTTGAAGGTCTTTTTCTCATCTAGAAGGGGGCCTAGGTTGAAAGCTGCTTCTGGCACTTCCAGTTACTCTCCTGAAAAACTCTCTGGCCTTAATCCATAATATGGTTTCCTTATTTGTGGCTTGGTGTGGTGTGAACCTATCTGTCATGGTTTGTAATTTGTAAACCATCATTTGTGGCTTAATGCATTGTGGAAACTTTGTTAATTAGGGTTTAGTCAATAGGTTGTGATCAAGCCAGCCAAGGCTTTGTTCACTTTGGAAGCCTATAAGGATATTCTTTCCTTCTGTATCCAAAGGAACAATCTTTTAAAAATAAGAAACCAAGGGCACTGAGAAATTGCTCTTTATTAGCAGCTCTTGGGTTAGGGTTGCAAGGCAAAATTTAAAGGAAGCACAAAGAGTCTAAGATGTTTGAAGCACTGAGAACATATCCAGAGGTTGAAGAAGCTTGTTCATTGGAATGAACCCGTTGCAGGGCATCTTCAGAGACTTCAAAGGGTTACAGGTGGATACTACCACAAATGTTAATTCTCAAAATGTCGAAGATGCCAGCCTTGATACAACCTCTGGCATGTGGTTCATCTAGATGGGAAACACGAAAGAGAAATCAATCAGGAAGGAATGAATGAAGAAAGAAAGAAAACAGAACATCCTCACGGTGTGGCCTCTTTCTAGGCATTTATATTTGATCCAGGAATGGGAGCCATAGTTCAGCAACCTTGGGAGGTGGGAACACCTCTGCTCTATAGGAAATAACCTTTTAATCTTTCTGGAGGACCATCCAGGATCTCCCTACTATCTAGGGTCATAGACCTTGCTAGGGTCACTGACAGATTTTGCTGATCTGAACAGCCTCTCTCCAAATTAAAACAGAATGCTTCCGACAATTCTAAATGGATATAAATACCATTTAATTCCAAAGGTCTTGCTCCCAGAAAAGTATTAAAATCTTAGACAGACTAAAATAACAAGTATTGTGCTCTAATGATTTTTAAAATTGATTCTGGTGGTTGCACAGTTTTATTTTCAAGAATGATACCATATGCCTTTACACTGCAGAATTTAGTTGAATATAATTTCCCTTTCCACTGTACCTTCAATATATGAAGTCCATAGAATTGTTCAGTTACAAAGGAAGCCATGTTGGGTTCCTTCTGGAATACTCACGTTCAACTCTTTTAACTTCATAAACGGGTACATGCTTGCAGAGATGTTCAATGGCGCTACCAAAAACAAACCACTCTTTGATTTCTCCTAAGAAAGATTTTGCAGGTTCGTACTGTGCCCACACGTTCCATCCTGATATCATCTTATTCATCATCTGAAATGAGAAGTTGGTTGAAAACAATGTTCAAAGGGCAGCTGACACATTAGGCTGTTGCAGTAAAAATTAGGGTTTTTAAATCTGGCTCCTGTCCCCATATCTGGGGATGGCAGATTTTTAAACACCCCAGCACCGTTCTGTGAATTCTGGGATATTGTGGCCTCAACACATCTGGAAAGTGTCATGCTGGAGAAGGTTGGCTTCTGCCATATAAATGTGCTAGACGTTCAGGTGCTTCAGGTCTCCCTGTTGACTTTTCAGGAAGAAAATCTGAAGAAGGGAAGGAAATATTGATGAGATGGCACTCAAGTCCTTCTTAGCAGGTTCAAAATTAGTCCATCTGGATGTATCCATCAGAGAATTCTTCAAACACTCAAATGTGAACATGCTGATTTTCTAAGAAAAGTCCATTTTTGGTATCAGAGGATAAGAAAGTAACATGGATTACCAATTTTTGAAAAGATATGCCATTTTTATTCTTCATCTAAAACAACAACAGTTCAGATCTTCAGCGAAGAACCAATGAATTTTGTAGAAAGGGTCCATTTTTTTTCTTTATCCAAACAGGGAAGTTCTTAGGGAATTACTGGGGTCGTAGATTCCCCCCGCCCAATATATTCTCAATTCTCATTCTCTCAAGAATCCAGTAATGGATCCACTGATAGTCTTGTTTGATCCCACACACACTGATTGAGATTAATTTTATTTTCCCTGAAACAGGGCTGTACTTGATGGAGGCATAATTCAAATTTGTGCTGTGGAATATGAAGGTCTGGGTCCAATATATTTTGGGGAAAGGGGCACCGTGCCCCCTGCCAACCTTGGCCTTGGCTCCATGAACCACTGAATGCCTATCATTTGCTTTGAGGCTACTGTATATATGATGACACACATTATTCTTGTTTGCTGATGTGTGGCTTTATTTCAGAACCAAGTAAAGCTTGTCATGTTTCAAACTCACTGGTGGAGCACTGCAGGTATGTTCAATGTATCTGGAGGCAAAGCACCAGATCCATAGTATCTGGAGAGAGGGACACTGGGGATGCATATCTGGGGGAGATGGGCAGCATATAAATTTAATAAATAAATAAATGCCCAGTCAAAATGTTTGTAATTTTCAAGCCCCCCTGCAGCTGGGCAAGGTCAAGGAAGCAAGAACTACACAGACTTCAGTAAAGTCTCTTTAGTGCAGGACGTGGAGTAAATACTTCCAGAATCTTGGAAATGGTAAGAGGAATTCCCAGCCTCCTATATATTGGGTTTGTTACAGCAGTGTCTCTTCCAATGATGGGAGATGCTCCTCCTCTTGTTTCTTGCACTCGGGCTGAGTTGCCACTTACGAGACAAGCTGCCCAAGGATTCCCCCCCTGCCTCTTGAGTGCCTATGCTCACCCTCCCCTGCGCTCCTTTCCCAACCCCCCCCCCAACCCTCACTGCAAGAAACACAACCGCTGAGGATCTGGGCCGTTCTGAAGGACTTTGGG